AAACTGATACCCACTCACGTACATACAAACAGAAATGAGTACAACACTGGGGAAATCTGAATAAGATCTATGGACGGTATTAATGTCAATAGCCTGGTTGTAACATTATACTATAGTTTTGTAAAATGTTACCATTGGGAGAAACTGCAAAGTATATAAGTGATCTCTGCATTATTTCTTACAACTGCATGTGAATCTACAATTATCTCAATTAAAGTTTCAGTTTAAAAAATGTATGTCTCAGAATCTTTGAAATTTGTTAAGTGCAGTGAAAAAAATAAAGAACAGTATGATTGGATGGGGCGGCGAGGAACTACTTTAAACAGGATGGCAGGAAAGGGCTCCCACAGAGGAGGTGACACGTGAGCTAGGCCCTAAAGGATGAGAAGGATCTGGCCATGATGGCAGAGCCCGCTGCAAGTAGGAGGGCCTTAAGGTGAGAAAGGGCTTGGGTGCTGCAGGAACAAACGCAGGCTGGCAAAGCTGGAGTCTAATCCACAGCAGCTTCAGGAAGAAAGGGGTCTGGGAAGTGGTCAGAGGTGTAGACAGTGGCAAACCATAGTAAGGAGGAGGGATCCTATGCTAAAAGCAAAGAGAAGCCTTAGCAATCATTAGGCAAGAATCAGAACAACAGTGAGAGGAAGCGTCGGTGCCTGGGGAGACTGGAGGAAAACCGTGGTGCCAGGAGATTGCCAACACACCTCAGTTACTTCACCATTGTGCTTGGGGCTAGCCTTGGCTAAGCTAATGACCTCGGTGCCAGCTCTGGCACACACACCCTAAACACTAAACATTTCCAAGTGCCTCAGTCCATAAACCATAAGCAACTAGGAAGGGATGACAGCAGGGTGGAGTCCCTCACCTGCAGGACAGGCCCTGGAACTGTGTGGGCTCAACTCTAAGAGTCTGTGTGCGTGCATTCTTCTGCTAAGCCAAAAGTTTCACCACGCACATGTTCAATACCGAGTAGATGGAAGCGCTTCAAATGCTCAGATTTGCTCTGGAAGTCACAGTTTTGAGTTATGATTTCAGATTGGGGGCTTATACTACAGAAGTAAATGTTTTCATGGTTACAATTTATTTTCAAGACAATAAAAGTTTTAAACACCTCACTGACTAACTTCAGAAATGCTTGATGAATTGATGAATTAAAAACTAAAATTATAAAGTATAAAATTACATATTATATATAGTATAATATTAAATTATACAATTCAAGGTTCATGCCATTTCTTTCTAACCACTTTCAACTCCCTTAATTACTGTCTTTCCTATAAACAGCACCTCTCAATATTCAGTCTCACAAGTTATTACAGCAAGGTGTATTTTTACATGTTAAACTAACACAAAAATCACTGTGGGTGAGACTATAGCAAAAGTGTTTCACTCATGCATTGCTGTCATATTCTATAACATATTTATGTTTATTTTCATATAAAATTAATGTCTCCAAATGCTTATCAAGTAAAACTGATGCTCCAGACACTCCTCATGCACCATCTGGTACAGACACTCTAGCTAGGAAGGCATTTCACTGTGTGGCATTAGAAGTATTAAAATAACCAATACGCAATCTTGATAATAACATTAAATATTGCAGGTTTGGCCACATTTGAGGAGCTGGAAAATTGTCTTACCACTTGATTTAGTAATCCCACCCTTAGGAGTGAGACGATACTGATGCTGCTGCTGCTGTCACTGTCGTCATCATCACCATCGTCATTTGCTGACCACACGCCAGGCATCATGTTAACAGCTTGTGGCAGTCATCTGTCTTAATATCCACTCTCCACTTTTACAACAAAAGATAGTGAAATTTGGAAGTAGTCTGTATTTTTCCCATTTCTCCAGGAATGGAAACATGAATTCTCACGAACATGTGAAATCTGGTCCCCCCTAAACCTCCTCAGGACTTCCTGAAGTGTCATTGTGAGGCATTCAGTCTACCACATATGCTTTTGGGTGACTATTATTAAATTTCACTGGTGTGGACAGTGCGCATGTGTATATTCTCTTCTCAATGTCCTAAAACAGCATAGGTAGGAGATTATACAATTAAGCCTACAGTTAAGGGACATTTACCGGAAAAACAGTAACATCCAAAGCGCAGAAGATAAGAAAAAGATTACCTTCATCATAAGAGAACTATTCCAAGATTTTACAAGTTCCACAGCTCTCAGGTCTTGCCAACTAATGAAGTTGTGAAAATGATTTCCCGTTTTCCTAAGAAAAATGAAAACAGTATTTTGAGACTCAATATAAATCAGGGACTACATTATATAAAAGATCTACCATGAAAGAAAATAAAATTAGAGGCCAAACTGTAATTTCAAAGTATGATTTAATTAGATACAGCTTTCCAAATGACTTCTTCCCTTTGATTTTATAAATTGAACACACATTATAACAATTATGATGTGACATATAGTATGAAATTTTAGATCAGATTCTATCCAAAAATGATATTCTTTTTGAAGCACTATAACATGTACACTTCCAAAAACAAAACAAAACTAATGAAAAGGGTTTTAAAGACTTGCTTATGCAGTTTTAAAAGCAAGATAAAGAAGCCAATGCTTTCCTCCTTCACTTGATATGTGCAATCAGAGAAAACCTCTGATCCTACGGAAGAGCTAAAATATTGCCTGAGCCCAACTCTACATCTCTCAGCTTCAGAACTGGCTCAGGCATTGGGAACCTACTATGCTTACCAAAATTTAGCCAATAAAACGAAATTCAACAAACTCTGGGTCAATACTACAATAAAAGTACAGAGCTAAGAAATATAGCAGAAATAAATCCTTTTTCCTTTGAGACTCCTGAGAATCAACCACTGACATCTACTAATCTTCAACATCCAACTCAGGCTTGCTCTCACCCCTATCTCCAGCCTTCTCCTGTGAGTTGAACCACGTTGAATTCCCGAGACTAGTTCCCACTCTTCTTAAGCAGTCCACACCCACGGTCACATCCTCAGCTTTATTACCTAGAAACATCCTACCAGTGAAATTCTAACATTCCAATATATCAGGTGATACATCTTGCTATTATCTCAGTTCTCTCAATCTTACTCCCCAAACACCTTCCCTTCAAACACACGCAACCTTTAATCCTCCAAACATTCCCTCTTCTTCCTACCAACCCCTCTGAGGCTTGCTTACTTCCTGGATCCCATGGTCTGTCACTTTAATGACCTGCCTTCACATTCTCTATACCCTGACTCTCTCTTTTTTTCTTAATTGTGGTAAAACATACATAACATGAAATTTACCATTTTAGTAATTTTTAAGTGCACAATTCAGTGGCATTAAGTACATTTCACAATGTTGTGTAACCATCACCACTATTTTCAAACACTTGGGTTGTTTCCACCTTCTTGCTATTGTGAATAACGCTACTGTAAACACTGCTGTACAAGAATCTGTCTGAGTCCCTGAAATTGCTAGGTCATGTGTAATTCTATGTTTACTTTTTGGGAACTACCAAACTGTTTTCCACGGTGGCTGCACCATTTTACATTCTTACAACCAGTATACAAGAGTTCTAATTTTTCCACATCCTAATACTTGTTATTTTCCTTTTTTAAATTATAGCCATCCTGGTGGGTGTGAAGTGATATCTCACTGGGGTTTTGATTTGCATTTCCCCAATGACTAATGATATTGAGCATCGTCTCACGTGCTTATTGATCATTTGTATATTATTCAAGTCCTTTGTCCGGTTATGAATTGGGTTATTTATTTTTTGTTGTTGAGTTGTAGGAATACTTTATATATTCTGCACATTAATTCTTTATCAAATATACAGTTTGCAAATATTTTCTCTCATTTTGTGAGCTTTCTTTTCACTCTCTTAATAGTGTCCTTTTTTTTTTTTTTTTTTTTTGTGAGGAGATCAGCCCTGTGCTAACATCTGCCACCCCTCCTCTTGTTTTTGCTGAGGAAGACTGGCCCTGGGCTAACATCCATGCCCATCTTCCTTCCACTTTATATGGGACGCCGCCACAGCACGGCTTGCCAAGCGGGGCATCGGCGCGCACCCAGGATCTAAACCGGTGAACCCCGGGCCGCCGCAGCAGAGTGTGTGCACTTAACCGCTTGCGCCACCGGGCCGGCCCAGTAGTGTCCTTTTTAAAAGTGTTTTGCACCTTTACTTATGGGAGCCACAGCTACATCCTGACCAAGTTACTTCTGTTCCTTTAGTGACCCACGCGGCCAGCACTACCACAGTGCAAATCAGAGAAGAGGTTCTCCTAACGTTTCAGTCCTCCACCTTAGACGGAATCACAAACCAAAGGTGCCAAGACACACACGCTCCATACTGCACGCCGCAGCTGGTTCTCAGAAGCCTAACTGCAGATTTCACATATCAATGACTAAATATTTTCAGACACATCTTTAAAATGCTAATTTTACATTATGTCAAAATAATTTCATGGCTCTATTTTTTATTATTTATGGTTAAATTTAAGGCAATTTTTCTACCTTGAAGAGTTCCAATAGTTAAGAAAATCAAAGAAAAAATTAGTCATCATAAATAGATGAAGACATCTTATTAGTATTCTTTGATGCACAAGTTTTTAATTCTGATGAAGTCCGATTTATCTTTTTTTTCTTTTGAAGCTGTGTTTTTGATGCCATTTAAGAAATCATGACATTGAGGCCTGCACAGTTCCCAATTCTTCTGTGGTTTGGGGTTGCTATCGGCCTCATAAAGCAAAGTAGAGGATCTGTCTTCTGGGAAGACAAAGTTGTCTTCTTCTCTGAAAAATCCTCCTACATAGTTGGCTTTGTCATCTTCTAGAAATAAGAAGGCAGGGATTGAAGCCTCATAAGTCTGGGTTTTCTACCTCAGCTGAGGTAGAGAGAGGATAGTGATTATAACCAGAAAGTTCAGAAAGGGGTGTAGTTACCTCCAGAACTCATCACTGTTAACCAGCCTGGGCTTCATGACAGTCACAGAGTGGCTTCCTTAATAACAAAATAATACAGTTTCAAAGAAAAAAAAGAAATCATTGCTAAATCCACCATCATGAAGATTTCCCTCTATGTTTCCTTCTAAGAGTTTTATAGTTTTATCTTTTAAATTTAGTCTTCATTTTTTTGAGTTAATTTTTGTATATGGTGTAAGGTAAGGGTCCAACTTCATTCTTTTGCATGTAGATATCCACTTTTCCCTGCAGCATTTGTTGAAAAGACTGTTCTTTTCCTATTGCCTGATCTTGGCATCCTTATCGAAAATCAGTTGACCACTGTATTAGTTTCCTTGGGCTGCCATATCAAGGTACCATAAACTGAGTAGCTTAAAACAATAGCAATTTATTGTCTCACAGAGCTCTGGAGACTAATAAAAGTCCAAAATCAAGCTGTTGGCAGGGCCATATTCCCTCTGAAACCTGAAGGGACTCCTTCCTTGCCTCTTCCTAGCTCCTGGTGGTTTGCAGCAATCTTGGGCATTTCTCAGCTTACAGATGCATCACTGCAACCCTCCTTCTTCACATAGCCTGCTTCCTGTGTGTGTCCTCACACGGCCATCTTCGTATGAGGACATCAGCCATAGTGGATTAGGAGCCCACCTTACTGCATTACCATCTCGTCTTAATATATCTGTAATTACCCTATTTCCAAAGGTCACATTTTTGAGGTACTGCACTTGCTTCTATGGGTTATTTGCCCCAAATCTCCCTCACTCCTAAGTGTTAGATTACTGAGTCAAAGGGTAAGACAATTTTCCAGCTCCTCAAATGTGGCCAAACCTGCAAAATTTGATGTTAGAATCAAGACTGCATATTGATTATTTTAATACTTCTAACGCTGCACAGTTAAATGCCTTCCCAGCTAAGGTGCCCATACCAAATGGTGCATGGGGAGTGCCTGGACCATCAGTTTTACTTGATAAGCATTTGGAGGCATTAATTTTATATGAAAACAAACTTGAATATATTATAGAGTATGACAGCAACGCATGAGTAAACACTTTTGCCATAATCTCACCCACATGGATTTTTCTTTTTGTTACTTTAATATATAAAAATGCACCTTGCTTTAATAACTTGTTAGGGTGAATACTGAGAGGTGCTATTTATAGGAAAGATACAGTAACTAATGGAGTTGAAAGTGGTTACAAGGCAATGTCATGAATCCTGAATTGTATAGTTTTAAAGATTTTATTTATTTATTTTATTTTCCCCTCAAAGTCCCAGTAGATAGTTGTATGTCATAGCTGCACATCCTTCTAGTTGCTGTATGTGGGATGCGGCCTCAGCATGGCCGGAGAAGCGGTGCGTCGGTGCGCGCCCAGGATCCAAACCCGGGCCGCCAGCAGTGGAGCACGCGCACTTAACCGCTAAGCCAGGGGGCTGGCCCCTGAATTGTATAGTTTTAAATTATACTATTTATAATGTGTAATTTTATACCTTAATGTACAATTTTATTTTTAACAGATTAATTCATCAAACATTCCTTAAGTCATGAGAAAGTCCTTATGTCAGTAAATGAGATGTTTAAAACTTTTACCCTTTGAAAACAAACGTGGCAACTCTAGAAATCTGATTTCCCCACTCCTCAGGGATGCTGATTTTTCCTTGTTGGGCACTGGAGCTGCCAGTTTGTGACTTTTCAAAACCATTTTTGTAAAGTGTGTATTCCTTGTTGTGTGTGGTTACTGAGGTTTCTGAAACCTCTGTTCTGTTCTCTCTGTTTTACTGTCTCTCACTTTCACTCAGTGAAATGATCAGCTAGTGACCTGACAAAGATTTTCTTAAACGTCTGGCTCCAAAAAAACCCAAAAAAGTACTGGCCCTTTAAATCTCCCAGTAGATGTTGCCTAAGGCTGAGAGGGCCGAGAGGGCCAGAATCCAGGTAAGCATCTGTGTCAGTCCTGCGGGGCACCGCCAAATCCACGAAAGCATATAAGCCCAAATTTTTGTAGAACAAGGTCCCTACTGCCTGCCCTGGCACTAGCCACCCACTGCAGGAATGTGGGCTGCTTTCTCCACACCCACAGCAGGGCTGAGGAATGCAGAAGGGCAGCCAGTTTGCACGTATCCTCTCTTACCTAAGGATAGCAGGCTCTACCTTCACCCAGCACTCCCCTAGTTGTTATAAGGGCTGATTAGATTCTAGAGCTCTGAAATCATTGATTCCAAACTCTCCTTCCAACTCAGTGGTGGAGGGACCAACCCCTACAGCTTCCTACTCCACTATTTTACATGATATCACTCT